GCAGATGTAGATATTATGATTGGCATGATTTCTTATGGGGAGAGAAGGTGCTTGTTTCCTATTGTACTAATACTCCTTAACACCCCTACCATCAATGGCCTCTTTGTCTATCTAACTACTGGTTCTTCTCCCAACTCCAAGGTTGCCATTACTCTCACTTCCCAGGGTCCCATGTCCACCACTTCTCTCTCCCAAGGCACTATCTCACTAATGAAGGACAGAATACACACCACAATCATATACTTGAACCACCTGACCTGCAGACCCAGGAGCCAGGATCCCTAGGATCAGTGCTGGACTAACTGGGCAGATAAGCAATAAAGGTAGTTACTCACGTGACACCAAATCCCCTCTTCCCTTTCCCCACTTTAGCCCTATCCCTTTGACCCCCAAACACCCCTAGTTTTCCTCCAGTTCCTCTCTCTTCACTTTCTGCAGAATCTTGTTGACTCTGGATCCTTCTTCTGCTATGGTGCAGTAGAAACAATAGATTTCTAGTCACAAGATCTGATTTCAAATCCTTGCTCTGCAACTTACAACCTGTATGATTTTAGGGAAATCATTTCACCTCTCTGGGCCTCAATTCCTCATCTCAGAAATGAAGAGGTTAGACTAGTTGATTTCCAAGATTCCTTGAAGTTTTAAATTATGACCCTATGATCTTAAATTTCTTCCAGTTACATTCTTTGCAGGAACCAACTTTTTCATGAAAATGACAAATCTTGGGACTCTCTCCAAGCCCATCTGTGCTTTCTTTCACACTCCCTGAGACACAGGGCCAGCTGCAAATCTGTTGTCTGCACTGCCACTTTCAGAACCTCCTCTGCCACCATCACTTAGCAACCATTTCTCTTACCTTAAAGTTCATTGCATCCTGTCCAAATCCTTGTTTTTGTTATCTATAGACCTCCAGACAACTTTCTCTCTTCCCTAATAAGTTCAATACCTGGGTCAGAATCTTCTCTGCCTCAGTTTCTGCCACCTTGCCTCCCTGTTCCTCAACACCTTTAACTCCCATAACTTCCACTCTAATATACACGAGCTATAATTAGAAGTGTTTGTACTTTTGATGTATTCCCATTCTCCAAGGGCAACTGAACTGAATCTGTTATCAAGACTTACAGTTATGGCTCTCCCTCCACATCATTCTTTGGAGAGTAGCATAACATGTTATTTCCATAATTGGTACTGTATCGAAAAGACCTTAGTGGCAAATGTACTATCAAAATATCCCTCAAATCTATACCACACTGTAGTAAATGTATTCCAAAACTATTTCTTTAGTTCTATCATTGACAAAAGTGCAGCTATGTTTAGGATTTAGTTCTAATCCCTTTCTAATGTGTTTGGTGATGTGCAGACATCCAATATATCATTTTGAGGAATTTTTTCTTCTTTGATCTATATACCCATAGGTTTTTGTTTCTATGATATTATTGCATGGATAAACTCTGGATGAACTTATTCTTATTTTTGTCTTTAAAACCAAGATCTGGAGAATAGATATAAATTTATCTAAAAATATTCCATGATATCCAGGAAATATCAAACTCTTAGATCTCAATTTATGATTAACCTGCTCCTTTAAGTACATGTAACATTTTTTGTTTTAATGTTCAGAGGAAATCTCAAGTGCCAAATATATCTTTTATAATATACCAAATTCTCAATTATTTGTATTTTAAAAAAGGAAGATTGGAGAAAGTTAATGGAAAATCACATCATCCCATAAAGGAAAGCTTTTAGGAAGAGCATGATCAGGGTTACAAATCAGCTCTATGTCATAGAACTTGTATACAATGGATAGATTTATAGAGATAATCTTCAAAATAGCTCATTGTATGTAGAAAATCAAGATTTGATATTTTTCTTCAAAATTCTCAAAACACAGGCAATTCCCAATTTCATTTTAAATATATTGAAAAACAAAAGTACCAACAAACACACAAAATAAAACAAAAAATAGGGGAAAAAATCACAAAAATAATCAAAGCAACAGCTGAAAGACAATTAATCAGTGCAAAATGAGAAACATTTAATCTTAATATTACCCAGATTCTTAGACACTTAAATTTTGAAAAGAAGTATAAATTTGTAACACTGCTATTATTAAATTAGAACCACCAATGAATGACTAATGATGGTTAGTATGTCAAATATATAATAAATACTTAACATAAACCTAATGTGCAGACTGCTTTATTAAGCAGATTCTTTCTGTCTATCCTTTGCAAAATTTAGCATTGGCCAGATGTCAGATTAAATACTAAAATTATTCAGATAGTTTTAAATTAACAGGATTTTGGATATAAGCCGTTAACATATGTGAATTGACGGGTGTGAATTTGGAAAAGAAAGTAGGCTATATAAAGTCAACAGCTGGCTATGAATGAAGATGCTGTCAAAAAAGCAAGACTTAATTTTTCAGATCATAGTTTAAGATACTGGAATGAGAAATTCTTGACTGTGGATGAGCAACATATAATGAGGATTGAGAAAACTATATATGCCCAGAGGCTTGCTTGTTTGATCAAGAGAATTTAAAAATGAAAGAGGGAAGGAGGAAAAAAACTGCAGAAAAATTATAAACTTGTTCCTAAAGGGAATACAAAGTATAACAAAAAGAGGGATTTGTATAACCTCGTTGAGATTTTCCACTTTTCACAGAAGAAAATAACCATGAAGAGGGACAGGAAAAGCTCTGACATCTTTAGATGTTTATTTAACAGCACAAAACATAAATAATAAATAAAGTATATTGAAATTTCAACACATAAATGATAAATAACCTCATATGTATTGTTGAGCCTTAGTGGGAAAGAATTCATGACTGAAATATGTCAATTTCAGGAACAATTTCATTTTTGTCTTTGTATCCCCAGTGCCTAGGACAGTGCTTTGTATATAGCAGCTACCTAATTAATAATTGTTGGATTTCATTTTAAGGAAACAGATCCAATTTAAAGGGCAGTAGCATAGTATTGTTGATCAAAGTCTGTACCTATACAGAAATACAGGAACCTAAAATATGGTAGTAAACATTTGTGTGAAGATGTAAGAAAGAAAAACAAATTATTTCATGGAAATGTAATCCAGACCACCTTGATGGATGGAGGAAATGGATGATGAATTATTGAAACAGACCATAAAACTGACATGGAGGTCAAATATACTAGTGATGGGGGATTTAAACTCCACACACATCTGCCAAAAACATTATTCCACTAAAAATGCTATATGAAAGGAATCCTTGGTTTTATAACAATTTTAATTCCCATAAGGTAAAGGACTTTAATGAAGTGGTAATCTGGAACTAATTCTGACTAATAAGGGGCAACTGGCTGATCTAGCAGAAGTTTTGGGCAGCTAAAGAGAAAGGGACCATTTGGCCCTAAGAATTTAGCAGACATCTCTCTAATTCCATAGTTATGTGGTAAGTTTTTTTAAACCCAAGTGTAGGCCTTTATATGTATTCACAAGACGAAACTAAGATCAATTGGTGAAAATTATAATAAGACAGATTTCCCCTCAATATAAGGAAGAACTTTAAACAATTACAACTATGTGAATATCGAATGCTTTGAGAAGTAGTGAGTTTATCACTTGAAGTGACCACTTGATTGTTCACAATGTTTGAATAAGATAAAAGTCAACAATTGCATTTCCTCTGATGACTTGTAGGGCCATCTACCCTACAGCCCCCTGGCACTTTATTACCTAAACAATCTAACTCATTCTGCTATATGTCATTTGAAAACAGCAATGATTTAAAATGGGCTGATTCAAAGGCAAGGCTTTCTGATTCATGATTGAAGATTGGAACATTTAATTAAGACCAGATTTGCTTTTAGATTTAAAAAAAAAGATGCCACTTCATAGCAGAGTGTGAAGTAGTATGGCATAGTGAATAGCAGTTTGAATATGGAACCAGAGGACTTACATTCAAATCTTGGTTTGGCTACTTGTTCCTTATGTGGCCTTCTGTAAAGTCACTTAATCTCTCTGGGTCTCTGTTTCCATATTTATAAAATGATGAAGTTGTACTAGATGGCCTCTAAAATCCATTCTGACTCTAAATCCATGATCCTATGAGATGTGAACCACAAAACAACTTAATCAGCTGTAGATTTTTAATCTTTTGTTGTGGTGGTGGTTCAGAAGCTGACATGAATTGTAGAGCCCCCATAACTATTGTTCTTAAGGGACAGCATACATGTACTTGATCATACCAATAGCAGCAACTCATCACCAACAAAGAATTCTACTGTTTAGTACAGATGGTACTAACCATTATGCTATTTCATTGTTTAGTGAATTATTATTGTTATTGTTTTAACTATGTTAAAAAAAACATATTTCATCTTAGAAGCCAAAGTTCTGAAGTTCAGGAATGACATATTGACATATTGACTGAATTTTCAATAGCTATTGTGACCACTTAGAATTTGGGTCCAAATTTTTGTGCATGTATTGGCACCATTTGTACAAGTCCCCCAAGTAAACATCTGTAAATGTAGCCTATACCAGAAAGGAAAAGTCTCTGAAAAAACTAAATCTCAGTATCATGCAACCCCTTATGGAATATCTTAAGAAACATAGAAATTCATGTTATATTTCCAAGAAAAACACTTCTAAGGAAAATATTCTGCAGTCAGGTATAGCAGTAGCTTAAATCTTACAGTTTGTAATACTGTGTTATATCAAGCTGGGATGATTTTTTTTGGAGGGGAGGTGCAGATTGAGAGCACAGAAGATGTTTTAGACTACTCTTCAGTCTTTCTCTATGTGGGCAATCCATGTGTCGAATGTAACTAAAAGACCCATTCAAAGAAAAACACTTGTCTTGTTTGTCTTGCCTTCTCTGAGTCAACAGTGATCAATCCTCTAACGAACTAGCTGAAAGAACACAGGAAGAAGGAAGGGATTGTTTAATCCTGCTCAGCTCAGCAAGGATATAAAGAGAGTGTATTCTTTCAAGATAGTGAGTCAAATGACTGGAATCACAGATTCATTTCCTGCTTCATGCTGTGCCCATTCAGGAAGGCAGAATTGGTCACTGTGTTCTTAGCATTGCTTTTCAGAGAAGTCATTCGCACAGCAGAGGAACTAAGCAGGTAACTGGTAGATCTCTCCCTATAGGCCCTCCTCCCACAACAAAGCTGACTGTTGAAATGTCTCCTGAAGCTCTCACTGAGCAGGTAAAGAGCAAATGGATTGACACAAGAGTTGCAGAAGCTCAACACCCGGGCCACTAAGGTGATGATCATGTGGCCAAGGGATGGGTCAATTTCTTTGTAGTTAAAAGATCGATACATGTAGAGAACATGATTTGGAAACCAACAGAGCACAAAGCAGCCCACAAAGACCAGGACAATTTTAGCCAGGCGTTTTCGTGTTTCCATCTGAAAATAGAAGAGAAATAATCATGCAGATGAGCAGAATCAAATCAAGCCACTCTCCAACATTACAATCATTGATATGAGTGAAGTGGACCTTGATATAACAATGCATCCAAATTACATCAGCAAAACAATGACTTCCCTTCATCAAAGTGGCTTCAGGCACTGGTGTGAAATCTCTTAGCTTAATGGCACTTAGCATTGCCTTTACCACTTATATTTGACAGTTTACATACACTGAGATGATGAATCACAAGAAAATACCTAAGCCTTTACATTTCCAATCCACAATCTTTCAAAGCTCCCTTGTGTTTAACTATTTTTCTTTTTCTGAGCTTCCAACTATTAACACAAATTATCTCTGTTTATGTTAAATCCACCCAATTAATGAAGCTTGAAAACTAAACAAACTTGGGCATATTTCAGACACCAGAGTAGTCTGAATAGGTAAAATATAAGAAGCTTTTAAAGTAGAGATGTTTTTTTAACCCTCACCTTTCCAAACAGACATCTAATAATACTATATATTGACGGAGCCCTTTAGAGTTTACAGAGCTCTTTCCTCCCAAGAATCCTTTGAGATGCAAGCATTAGTATCTCGGTTTTAGAGATGAGGAATCCGAATCTCAAAGAGCTCAAGTAACTTGCCCATAGTCACAAGGCACAATGCTGTACAAAGAACGCTGAACTTAGAGCCATAGAACAAGAGATCAAATCCAGGCTCTACCACTTACTGCCTGAGTGACTTTAAGCAATTCATGTAATCTCTCTGTGTTCCTCACAGGTAAAATGAAAGTGTTGAATTAAATGACCTCTAAAGTCTCTTCTAGCCCTAAATCAATGATCTGTGATCTATTTATTTCAAGTTTGCTGCCTGTATACATATATTGTTGACCTGTGAAAACTGTCAAGTATTTCACAACTTTAAAATGGTTTAAAAATAATTTTTTAAATCTCAAAAAAAAAAAATCAAAATGAGTTTCCTTTCATTTCACTGTAGCATGCATTTTGAAGGTAATTATTTTGTGGAAAGTTTCCAAAAACTTTCTCTTGGGAGAGAGAGTGGGGAGAATTTCTGTTCTTTTGTTTTATCTCTAAATCATTTTCTACCACCCAGTTTCTGACAGTTTGATTATATCTGTCTTAAAATTTTAAAATATATTTCAGAATAAGAGCTGTGTAGCAAATTGAGAAAAGGTACTGGTACCAAGCAAGACTTTTCCTTGAGTTCCTAGTGGAATATGTGGACTATGTTCAGATCTGTGACTTTATTGGTGTAGGGAAATCCAGGGAAGATGGTCCCCTGTACATATTGGCAACTACTGCTAATATCCTCTTAGAGAGTTATCTAGCACTGAAAGGTCAAAATGACTTGCCCAAGTTTATGTCAGGAAGAGGATTTAAATATATTTTCCTGATTCCAAGACCAGCTTACTATTTTCTATATCATGTTTCCTTCCAGTTGAAGATGCCAATTTTTAAACTGTGCTTTTGATGCCCATTTCAGTAACAAATTATATCAGGATTTACAGAAAACAGTACTTCTGATCCAAGTTAATATTCCAAAAATACCAACTCTATCTCACCAGTCTTCTGCTCAGAAATTGCTACTTCAATTTCAACCCCTATCTCTCTGGCTGCTATGATTTAATATCTGAAAGTAGAGTTACTAGAAATATCTGGTAGTTCTACTTAAGACAAACAGAAAAGCCCCAACTACTACTCAGTCCAGCCATATCCAACAAGACATTTAAAATGACCAGGAACTTCATGAGCTCTTGGCTGATACAACCATGCCTTATGGTGCAGTGATGCCCAACATTCATTCCACACTACTTCCCTGGAAGATTACTCAAGATCTATAACATGCTAAACCCTCTTTCTCCCAAAGAAACCTATGGGGCTTTTACCTTTACACTCATGTTGCTTTCTCTAAACAACTTCATTTGGCTTGGAATGATTTAGCAGATGGTAATTTGGGTTTTCAATTTTTTGATAAATCATTTTAAGAAATAAAAAAAAATTTGCTACCTTAAAAAAATCAATTAACTATAGGGTAAAGTCCAAATGTCCCCTGTTCCATACTGACCTCCTTCTCCTGAATTTTTGTTGTCTACAGAATAAAGTAATAATATTATAGAATGTTAGAAGAACGATGGTCTAGTTGAATACCCTAATTTGTTGATAGGTAATATCTGCATCTATATCTTATCTTCCCAGGTATATTGTAATATTCTTTGGACAGAAATCATGTCTCCAATGTCTTTGTTTTTCCCAGACTCTAACATGATGCCTTGACACAGCAGGTTCTCAAGAAATATTTTCTTACTAGTCAACTGATTTGGTTGGCAAATACACATTCTCCGACTTTGACATTGCTAGTTGTATATCTTCCTGGGCACCGAAGAGAAGAATTGCCTAGGTTAGGAAAGAAGTTCTATGAGCACGGAAGCTCCATATAGAATACCCTGTTTGGAGGATACACAATTTGAAGCCAGTGAGTTTTTAGTTTTGTTGTCAAGAGTTTGCAAAATGCTCATCTAAATTGCCATTGTGGTATAAAAGACAAATTTTCCTCTACTGGGGCAACCATGAGACTATGAAGCAAAGAAAGAGGCAATAAAATAAAGGATAAATACTGGGTTCAAGTCTCAGCTCTAACACTAGATATATGGTCCTAGGCAAGTCAATTAAATACATTGTGCCTCAGAATTATTATTTAAAAAGTGTTATATCAATGTCATTTAGTGTCATAGAGGAAAAAGTTAGTTAATGGCAATTTTCCCACTATGCCAGATCTGGTTGAAAAAATACAATTCAGCTGTATACTTTGCTTTTATAGTACCAAATACCCAGATGCTTAAAAAGCAATTATATAATTGTCTCAAATGAAATGTTCACTTTTCAATCAGAAAAAGAATATTATTGAGACCCAGCATAAAAAGTTGTGATTAAAACCGCTACTCGAAAGAATCTGGGGCAGCTAGGTGGCACAGTGGATAGAGCTCCAGCCTTGGAGTCAGGAGGACCATAGTTCAAATCTGGCCTCAAACACTTGACACTTACTAGCTGTGTGATCCTAGGCAAGTCACTTAACCCTGATTGCCTCACCAAAAAAAAAAAAATCTACTGGAGAAACCATTTTTTGATAATATTATTTCAGTAGAGCCCAGAACCCTGATCTGTATTTCTTTTATTTATTTTTATTCTATCTAATTCAAAGGAAGTTATGAGACTCATTATCATATAATCTAAATCAACTCAATTCTTCTCCTCTCAACCAAGGAACAAGCAGAGATAATTTGTCCCAACCTATGAAAACCAATAGAGGATTTCTCTCTCCAGGTTTAAACACAAGGTTGCACTTTAAAGCCCTGGTTTCCAGTAGTAGTATTTAGGTTCCTTTTTTTTTTAATCAATATGATTGGTTCCTATTGGTAATGATCTTAGTGGTGAATTTGGAGATTTACTTTGAAAAAATTTTTACTGTCAGCAAAATGCACAGTAGTCAATAATCACCTTCAGCTCCTTTCCACCTCCTGGCACCCACTTCTCCTTGGTGTCCTGCACTTTCATACTACCTTCAGGCTGCCTTGCAACAACCAGTGTCTCCTTCCCCAGGCATTGTCAATGCTCTAAAATTAACTCTCTTTTCCCATCCTTTATTCTTCAACAAAATTCTAATTCCCTACCTGAATTTCAGATAGCTGCTCTGAGAAAAAAAAAATCTGATTAAACTAAGGCATTATGTCACCAAATGTCATGGAGACATTTACAAATGAAAAGAAGACATTAGTCCTGAGAAATCAATTTCTAATAGTAGAATTTTAAACCTTATGACAGGATTGTGGGCCATACATTGGGGGTTAGAGGGAGGTAAGACCTTCTAAGAGCACTTCAAATCACACCACATTGTGTAAATATATAATCCATCTATATACTAGCTTGGTCCTGACAGCAAAAAAAGGCTCTAATGCTATTCTGCTTTTTCTTCATAAGAACAATTGAACCCTTACATCTGACTTACAAGAGACATATAAGTCTCTTATATGTATATTCTACCTCTCCCCTCCCCCTTTAGATTGTGAGCTCCTTGAGAACAGAGACTCTCTCTACTTTTCTCTTTATATCTCCAGTGCTTAGCACAATGCTTTGAATATAGTAATTACTTAATAAATGCTTTTTCATTCATTCACTCACAGTTTCCTGAGCTTCCTGGGTAAAATGAAAAACAATGACTAGTGTATAGTACTTATTCCCACCCATTTCTTACCTGCTTTTTAGAATGCTCATTGTATTCTCCAGGGATGTTGTGTGCACTTTTGATTAATGTTTTTGCAATATGATAATAATAAATACTTATGATAACAAGAGGAATGAGGAAATAGACCAAGAAAATCATCACTGAGTGGATCTTTGGATGTAGCTCATCAGTCTGTGGGTATGGCATACATGCTGTGAAGCTGCCATTATCCATGCTACTGATGTGGGCCACTTCAGAGAATACTGCTTCAGGAACTGCTAACAGAACAGAAATTACCCATATGCCAATAGCTTTCATACAGGTCCACAGGACTGCACCTGATGTCTGGATATCCATAGGATTCACAATGGCTTTATATCTAGAAAGAAAACAAATTTTTATTTTATTTTTCAAATTTCTTCCAACACATGTAAGAGAAGCCAACACTCTACTTCCAGCTTGTAAATTGTCTAAGTCTTTCACTCCTCATTTTTCTACCCTTAGGTCATTTTCACTATTTGTTAGTAAGGTAGGCCAGAGATTAGACATGAGTTACAAGTTCCAGATTCAACTGTTAATTAAGCACACTAAATGAAGGAGCAGAATAGTGCAGATAATAAAAAAATTGCAGGAATTCAAGAACTGTTAATATATAATAGTAGTTCACATCTATGTAACACTTTAAAGTTTATAAAGCACTTTACATATATTATCTAATTTGATCATCAGAAGGTTCTATCATTATACCCATTTTACAGATGAATAAACTGAGGCTGTCAGAGGCAAGTGACTTGCCTATAGTCTTATAGCTAGTGTCAGTGGCAGGATTTGAACTCAAATCTTTCTGAGTTTGAGTCCAAGTCTAGAACTCTATCCAATATGCCATCTAGATGCCTTAGCATATTTTGGTATTTGCATTTGGCTATGTCTAATATTCTAGAGCAGCAGCTAGGTGACATAGAGTCCCGAGCCTGAAGTCAGGAAGACACATCTTCATGAGTTCCAGTCTAACCTCAGACACTAGCTGTGTCATCCTGAACAAGTTACTTAAGTCTTTTTGCTTCAGTTTCCTCATCTTTAAAATGAGCTAGAAAAGAAAATGACAAACTACTCTAGTATCTATGTGAAGAAAACCCCAAATGGGGGTCACAAATAGTTGGACACAAATGAAAAACAGCAATGTCCTGGAAATTCATAATATTTCTTAAATCATTAAGTCATTGGATTCTGACATGTAAAAATGTGATTATACTGTGCTCAGAACTCTCCCCTGATTTCCACAGGGAAGAAAAATGTCTTTACTTCTTCCAGGAGCTAGCATCCTTTCTTTGAACCAACTTAAGTAGTATTGCCCCTTTTCTGCCTTAATTTGCTATGTTTCATTTTGTGACCAGAGAGTGAGAGACAGTTAAGTGAGTTAAATGCCTCCTTTACAATGAATAACGGAACTAAAATAAATAAAAGATGTTAATGAAGGACTTTATCACCTGCTTTATTGTGTAAATAAGAAATTGAAAGCATACTTTGAAATTAAATATTGTAAACAGATCATGGAAACTTTGCTGTACTTCAAAACTATTTGAAGCTGTAGTTGAGAAAAATTCAGTAATAAAGGTTCAAACTATTGATTTAAAGAAAAATCTGGAATTAATCTCAGATCCATGTTCTTCCTGTTTCCATATTATCAAGTGTAATCAAGACCTAGCTTTCTACTCTGTTTTCTATGCCAGTGGTTTCCGAACTTTTTTGATCATGAACTCTTAACAGTGTGGTTTTTTTTTTCTTCTGGTATATAGATTGGCTAGGGTAAAAATAAAGAGTGGGGGATGTCAATGGCACCAGCGAAAATGCCACTATATGTGCTTAAGTAGGGATTAGGTTATAACTGCCTCAGAGGTTAGCAGCTTGCACAGCAGCAGGAAAGGAGTGATCTGGGAAAGTATTGGGCCATAATGGTGAAGAGTAGATAAATATCTTTGTGTTGGATAAAAGCCTCAAGATTAACTAGGGTGGAAAACTTATTCATCTTCCCATCCTCTGATTGGTTGATCACATATCCCCTTGGGGTCAAGCCACAACTTCCCTAGAAGGTCCTAGCCCCTGCTCTGGAGACTACTGATTTTACCAATGCACCTGATATATTAAAATGATAGTGTTTTAGACCTTAAATAGACCTTCATTTTCATTTAGTCCAGCCCCTATATTTTGCAGACAATGGTTAATTGTATAGTGATCCCAATTCCTACTTTTTCCTTACATGATGTAGCAGTAGAGTAATTTCATAAGAGAATTCCTGTCACTACTGTGCAAAAATTACCAAAATAATAATACCTTTGAACCCAATGATGCTGTTATTGAGAATATATCATGGGACCATTGCATGTTGTGCTTTTGCAGGACACAAATCCAGCTGTAATAGAAGATAATGGGAGAGGCCATAGGAATCTTTGTTCCTCTAAAACCAGGAGAACCCACAGCTTAAATTTTCTTGGGCTTAAAGGGGAGAGCTGAGTGATGTTCTATGTAAGTATCATTATATGAATTCAAAAATGTCAGAAGACAAATCTGAGAACAGACAATTTATCAGAGAATCAATCCAAGGATGGCAATGCAACTCTGTTTTATAATCTGAACAGTATTTTTACCTATACATCTCTGTGAAAGTATTTTTTTAACCTGAAGGAATATAATACAAATGAAAATGGATATAATCAATCAAGTTTCCTTCAAACATTGGAGGAAAAAAATACATAAATAATGATGGTCTCCAAACTGTTTCATATGTAGATAATAACATAGTCTGCTATGTGCATGAGGGCTGTTTTCATTCATGCAAATAAACTTAGTAAATTAGTTCAAATTTTAACAAATGAGAAACAAAATAATGGAAAAGAAAAAAGGTAAGTAGAAATGTAATTGATGCATTGAAATTTAATAATTCTTTTATTGAATCTTGTCTGCCATCTCTGGTATGAACATATCATAAATTGATTTAATCATAATTTTTAAAAGTTAATGAAAATTATCTCATCTCCTAAATTCCTTTCTGCTTGAAAAATCATCTCACTACATTCATCTCCACATTCCCCTGAATTAGAACCCGGCATTTTCTATCTTGAATTATATATGCATCACATGCTTTCACATCACATCACACTGACTTTCAAAACTTCTGGGAAAGACCATAAGTATTCTCTACTATAGATACTGGTACTGTCATCACTTTATGTCAGATTAAAATACAAAATATTTCAAAAAGTGTTTCAAGAAGAAACAGTTGTTGGGTTTTTTTATTTGTTTGTTTCTTCTTAGCAATTTTCAAGTTTTTTAGATATTAGAATGTTAACTAACATCAGTATTTTAACTTTTCTAAGTGGCATAATAATTGCCCACTTGCATTGGTAGAAAAGGAAGCTTCCTCTATCAAGGAAACCATAAGCAGATCCCCTAAAGTTAGCTTGTTCCACAAAGCTATACTTTATGTGGTTCCTCAGAGGACCTTGACAGAAAGGGATGGAACTACTGATTTTATCTTCATAAGGAACTTATGAGTGGGGAGACTACTTCTACTAATGTAGATTGGTACTTTCTCTGAAATTTAGAGGCCTAGAGACTGACCAAAACACTGAAACAGTCAACAAATTACTTAAAAGTAGGTTGTCCTGGCTTCAAAGTTAGCTCTCTATCCACTATACCAAGATGTTTCTCCAGAATATTCCATTCCCACGCCATTCCTAATAGATAATTCAAGACTTATTGTTTTTAATTTTGGTGGGGATGGGGATAGGGAAGGGCATTGGTCTGAATTTACGATTTCATCAGCCCAAGGAATTCACCCAATTCACCTCTAACTTTAAGTTGTGAGCTTCTTGAGATCGCGGGTTAACTTTTGCCTCCTTTTATATCACCAGAATTTAGGCATGTAGTAAGTGCTTAATAAAGGTTTGTTAATTGATTGATTATGGCTTTCAAGAGTTGCCAGGCACTGAGAGGTTATTTGATATGCTAATGGTCACAAAATATGTGAGAGGTAGGACATGAACTCCCACAAGGCTTCCTGAGTACAAGACCACTCTGTTAGACATACTGCCTCTCATGGAAATTCATAAAAAAGAAGAAATGTGGGCTGGAAATAGTAGAGAAAACCTAGTGGAAGAGAGGACTTAGCAAAATATTGTATTTCCTGACTTTCAGTGTTGAGAAAGGGACTACATTTACTAATTGCTCTGCAAAATTGCTTTCTAATAATAATAGTAGGAGCTCAAATTAAAGTTTACAAAGGTTTTTTACATATTATGTCATTTGTTCCTCACAATAACTCATTGAAGTAGTGTTGCATGAATTTCCTCATCAGTTCATCTAATTAATGCCAATAAGATAGAACCAATCATAGAAACAGATGTTTTTATATGCTTAAAGTGCAACATACCCCACCAGCAGTTGATGGGAATGTATACTATTCACAATTCAGCTAGCAATATTTATACATTACACCAAACAAAGAAGCAAACAAAAGGATGACTGCTCTTTACACTGCAGCTAGTTATACAAAGAAAAAAGTGTGCTTGTTTAGGAGAGTGTATATTGTGAGCTACACAAGATAGAAAAGATACTATCTTCTTAGTATAGCTAGTTCCATTAAATCAAAGGGAACTACCTATCAGGTTAGATAAGAGAAGAAGACATTCCAAAGACTAAATCCTCCTCTCTCTCTCTCTCTGTCTCTCTCTGTCTCTCTGTCTCTCTATCTCTCAGTAATTGATGGTTTATTTGTTTTTTGCATCCATTGGAGAAGCAGAGAAGACACTGAAGGGGAATCAGCTGCTGTATTGGTCTTGCAATTCATGCAGAGGTCATACACAACAAAATGAAGACTACAGAACAAAATGGAGTAAGTTTTGTTCTCCCAAAACTTCACCTTCAATAAAAGTTAAACCAGAAACTCTCTTATGACACTAGTATTCCCATTTTGTAAGTGAGGAAACTGAGACTCGGAGAGGTTAAATGACTCTTTCAATTCCATTATCAAATACAAAATAGTCTTATTGGTATTCAAAGCTGTTCAAAACTTGACATTTCCAGTCTTCTTACACTTTACTCCCTCCCAGATACACTGTGATCCAGACACTGGCTTTATGCTATTCCTTGCCCAAGATTCTCCATCTCCAAACTCTGGGCATTTTCACTGACTATCCTCCATGCCTGGAATTATTTCCCTTCTCATTTCTGCTTCCTGGTTTCCCTCAATTCCTTCAATTCCCAGCTAAAAACCCTACCTCTTACAAAAATTTTTCCCATTTTCCCTTAATGTTATTCAGCTCTTTATTGATTATCTATATTTTTCCTGCACATATTTTATTTGTACATAGTTGATTACAT